AGTGTTGTCACAATTGATCGGTGACAAGACATCCAATGAGGTAGGGGTGGGAATAAAGCTGTAGACTAGACCATTGGTTCCCAAACTTTTCAGCCTTTGACCCTCAAAATACCAGCAGCAGAGAACTGAGCCCCCAACTGTTGYTGGATCATAAACATTGTTTTCGCGTCAAAAAAATAAGAGCATAGTAACAATATTTATTATGCTATTTTGGTCCATTTTAAGTACACTAACCTTACCCTTTTGTAACAACAAAGGCAAAAAAATTTGTTAGTTGTTATTTTCTTATATAATTAATTCAGAAAATCTTTTCAGGACCCCACCTTGATGTTTGGGAACCCCATTGTGGGTCCCGACCCCAACTTTGGGAACCACTGGACTAGACTGTCTAAATTCACAGCCAGTTTCTTACAGTATTCCCGGTTGACAAAGGACCCAGCTCATGTAGACTGGGTAAACTGGGTTGAATTGACCACAGCCTCTATACAGCCTTTAACCTCTTCTCTGACTGGTGAAAATTTCTCACTTCTCTCTTAAGCTTTTGTACTAAAAGCTCTGAAATTGGTTTAAAACTCATAACCTCAATTTTCTATACTAATATGATACAATTTAATTGTTTTAATTTATTATTATCTTTAATTCTATTATTATTGCCACAATTGATATTGTCACATAGCAATATGCTGGTTTTTTGTGGGTTGATATATGTATCTGCTGTTGCTACTACACCTGAATTTCTCTCCGCGGGACAAAGGCTGTTTCTATTCTATTCTTCTATTCTAAACTTCCTGCTTCAACAGAGCCGTAGCCAGTGCAAACTGTATAAACTCACTGGGTTGAGGCTAGAGTTTACATTGTAGGTCTTGATAATTTATCATACTGAATAATGCTTTATCTCGCAAACATTTCAAGTAGCCATTTTTAAGTAGTTCCATATAGCCAACATGGTGGCACAATCCCTTCCCTGTCATCTWTCGTATGTATTTTCCAGGATCATAGTTCAGTTCTATACCACAAATAACTGTTACATTCAGTTGTTATGAAAATGCTGTATATATTAAAAATAAATGTGACTGCATCATAGCCTTTCTAAACTCATTGAAATTGGCATCTGTCTTTTTAAGAACGTCCTACCATTTCAGACATTCACACTACAGAATGTTTTCATCGCAATGCTTCATGAAATTTACAACCTTTTGTAGGGGCCTTGTAGGAGGATGGTCTTTTTGGCTTCCAAAGATACATATCCTCGAAGATATATATTTTTTTTAATCGGGAAAGGATTGGACTGAGAAGCCTTACAAGCTCAAAAGATGTGCTGTTTCCACCAGGTCTGGTGGAGCCGAGTCGTGGAGGCGCAAGGAAGGGGTGGTCTGTGGGGTGGGAGCTCGGCTGGGGACTGAGCTCCAAGGAGGAGCTTTGGGTAAATAGGCGAAGCTTGTTGCGAGTTTAATTAGCTCTGAATGGCTACCACAGAAGATACAAGGATTTCTCAAACATGAATGAATGAGTCAAAGCAACACTGTGGGCATGTTTTTGTTGAGGGAATGACATTATAATTTGATTTAAAGCTCAAAAATGTTGATTTTGCACGACAACCCTCTTTTAAACAGTCCTTTTATGGTGCAGCTGACGTAAAGCAACGGGGACTGGGAGCTGCCTATACTTACAGACCCTGATCTGGATCACTCAAAATAATTAGTACTTTGATCTTGATATACTTTATGCTTCTTAGACATGAGAGAAATACCAGCCAACCTGGTGGACTTTGGCAACTTTTAAAAAAATGTCACACATATTTCTCTCCGAGTAGGCAAAAATAGAAATGAAGTCCCTTAAAAGCCAAAAGAACAGAGGGGGCAAGAAACAATGAGGGAGATGAGAGTGTTAATCAGTGGGACAACTCTGTAGCTTAACAAACAGCACTAATTACACAGGGATAAAGACGTTCATCACACAGCTTACGAGACACAAGTTAATTGCCTCTCCTTGTAGTCCCCTCCCCCTACCTAAAGTCAGCTCATCAAAGTCACTCGGAGTGGCTACTTTCATTTTTCCTCTTCCTTGAGCACTGTTTCTTCATACTACTGTTTGAGTGTATACTTGCACAAAATCTGCCTTAAACAGTACTAAAACATAAAAAGGGGAGGACACGTGTAAAGCAAACAGTAGAAGCAGATGAACAAAATCCATGTTAGATGTGGGAACGCAGGTTACAATCTATGCCATACTATAGAATGTGTGCTGCAGCGTAAAGAAGAGGAATATATTACTTTATGGTAAGGTTATCACCAGGACAGATGAGTGAATAGAGGTCATAGACAAACAATATTGAGGTTGAACACGGGAGATTGGATATACCTCAGTCAAGCATATACAGCAAGTACACACATACTGCGCCTTGAGCTGCAGAGCCGTGCGGATCAATATGCTAAAAATAAATAGTGATGTACTCAAGAGGCTGTTTACATGTGCCAGTTTGTAGTAGATATTTATTTATTTGCATAATGCATGCCTACTTTCATCTGCGTGTGGATTTTGTGCAAATTTTGTAGCACTGTGCGGTGCTCGTCTGGCGAACATGATCAGAATAAGATGTGCGGCTCCGCGAAGAAAAAAAAAGTGAAGAGATTCAAACTCAAAAGTTTCAGCATGAGGCAGTGAGCTTGTCAGAGCTGCCAAAGGACTAAATGATCAAAGCGCAGCGGAGAGCAACAAGTGTACACGGAGGGGATGGCTGTCGTGAATCGCGCGCATCTCTCTACACTCTGTCAGCAGGGGATTTTAAAAAATACTGTAGCCATCTTCTTAATCTAATACTGAACTACATGAATCATGTGAATGGTAAAATGATCAAAGGCCACAATATCTGTGTCTTCGTAATCTGCCATGGATCAGCTAGAAATAGTTCATTAATTTAATCAGGATGTATTTTAAGATTTTCATTGAACATTGTTACATTTCTACAGATCTAGCAGCCCCATATGAGTTAATATGCAGCACTGAGTTCAGATGACATGATTTGTAATTCCTGTGCATTAACTCTAAAGCTCTAATTTGCTCCCCCGCCTACTTTCAGTGGGCCACCTTTCATGCATGACCCTCCATCTTCCTCAGTTACGTCAAGCTAAGGCCAACACAGGTCCCTTTTTTTCCCTGAAAGCCTTAAAAGGTTTTTCAAGCTTTGTGTGTCATTTTGCACATCTCCCCGTGGCCTTGTGGTGACAATCAAGTCAGGCAGCTGTTAACACTGCTTTGCACTTTTGTGCGGCATGCAAGGTTTTACCCCGGGACAGTTCAGACACCACAGGTGAATCGAGCTCGTTTTGCATTCAGCGAAAGGACTCAAGTCCGAAATGAGATTTTGTGCAAGTTCAAAGTTAAGTGGTACCTTTATCCTGCTGCTGCTGGGCCTGACAAGTAAGACATCAACAYTGATACCTCATACAGGCGACAAAGCTTTTGGCCAGTTGGCTCAGAGAGTTAAAGTGACCAGAATATTTTATTAGAGGAAAGAATTATTCTGGTTAAAGATAAAAGTAAAACTCGATTAGGTTTCATGGATACATTCACACTGCAGGTCTTAATGCTCAATTGTGATTTTGCTGTGATTGTTCACTTCTTAATTTAAACGTGACCGCTATTAGACTCCAGTATGAACAATCTGAAGCAACGCACGCAAAAGATGTGATGTCATGCAACACGCTGTGTTTACGTTAGTAACTTCATGAATGTTACGCTGCTCAGAGTTTTTCTATCAATTTGGAAAATGTTGTGCAATCAGCGTCAACTAAATTATTTTCTCTCATGCTTGCTTCCTCCAATGTTTACGTTGGATCTTACTGCTTCCCGCCTACTTTGATGCAGAATTGCACTTCTGGAAGGGAGCAAAAAACTGGAATTAGAGGGGAAAAAACAAACTCAAGTGTTGATTCGGGCCTGTATCAATATGATCTGACACCATTATTAGTTTTATGTGTAGAATTTCAGTCAAGATATGTTAAATCCAAAAAATTTACAAAAGAAAAGCAACTACTTTTATCGGATATGTTTTACATCTTATCTGAGGAGCTAATTCAAAACTGAAGAGGGTGAGATAAAAGCTTCAAACTATTTGATTTTAATATCAATGATGCCAATTTTTAACTTAATCTGCACCCCTACTTCAATGACATAAAGGTTGCAAGAAATGTGACATGAAGGTCCAGGCTTAGTTCAATTTGGAAAACTCCATATTTTTTTTCAAAGTAGGACCACATTTCAAAGTGACCTGGGTCTGATTTGAGAAAAAAAAGTTATTTGCTATTCATACTGTCTTAAACAATCAGATACAGGTCACATTTGAGCAGAACAGTGTGACATTGTTCACTTTTGCTTGGGGGTGTGAAAGTAACCAAACTTATAACTCAAACAGGTCACATACACTAGTCTTCTACCTTAAGAGCAACCTGCACAGGGAGCTTTGATGCAAATAATCCAAYCTCAAATTCACTGAACAGATTTTTTTAAACACTGTTAAATGTATACCACAGTATTTTTTTTCTTTTTTATTGATTGATGAAGGGTTGACTTACTGAACAAAACATAAAATGTCTGCAATTGAAGCTGTATGACTTAAGATTAGTTGCATCAATAAGAAATGAGCACCCAAAGCTGTGTAATATGCAGTTGCAGCTACAGGTCCAGGTTCATTTCATGTGAAATGACTTGGCATGGTAAGTGATAAAAATGGCAGGGAGGTGTGTTTACCTGTTCATGCTCAGGGGCCCCAGAGGAGCTTAATCCTGCCTTGCATGTGCAGGTTGCTGTGCAGAAAACAAAACATCACATTTTGCTAAACTAAGCCTAAAAGATGATCTACCTTGCTTCMAAACTTTGAGAGTCTAAGTGGTGCGTTTTGATTTGCTTGGACCTATTCTTGAATAAAACAGGGTGTTGGTAAGTGAGTTGGGGGGGACAGCACCGCCAACAGGTGCTGCAGGTCAGGTMGACATACACACCTGCCATTTAGCAAGGCAAGTAGCTCCCCAGCGTGGTACAGGTCGTTCCGAGTCACCCGGCTGAAGCGGAAGGAGTTCAGGTTGCAGAGGGTGATCGCGGGGAACACGATCATCGTCGCCGCCACCTCGTCCAGCTTGGTGACGTGGGGGTACTCGAAGTAAAACTGGACCCGGTCCACGCACACCATCACCAGCACGCCCACCGAGGCCATGAAGAACACAATCCACAAGCTGCGCTTGATGTACTTTCGCTCATAGGTGAACATGTGTGAGATGCCATGCAGCGTGGACCTGGTGGCGAAAACTTCGATGGGAGCCGGCCGCTTGTACTCCAGGTCCTCCGCGTCTGCCTTGAGATCCATTCTTTCTCGGCGGGATGGCTTTCTGGAAGGTTGCAAAAAAAAAGCACCGCAAATTACCTTTTATCGATAAGTAGATTGGTTATTTTTGAGGAGGAGGTTAGTGGCTGCCAAGTTCACGCCCTTTTCTACGCATGTGTTTCTCATGCAGTCGGTGTGCGGTGTTGCGTCACTGACAGCCGGCAAAGAAAAAAAAAGAGGGGAAAAAAAAGAGAGAATCAGAACATTTTTGTCTCCAAAATTACTCAGTCCTTCTTACATGAGAACGCRCTGTGCAGATGCAGGAAGCGTGAGTTATAGGCTGCTTCAGTTCGGTTCATAGTTCCATAATAATTATAAAACAGCGTGGAGCGCGCATGGATGGATGCCAGCGCTGTCCTCTACTTCTCCACAGCCGAGTTGATGTTTGCTTCAGCACTTTTACGGCAAACCCGGAAAAAAATAAACACAAATATAAAAGAAAAGGCAGACACRGATGCTGAAGATAAACACAAACCCGAATGAAAGAAAGAAAACTGTCAAATCAAAGACAGCAGCGCTGGTGGATGGTCTCTCTCAGCGTAAAGGCTTTCCCAGCTCTCCATGTGAAAGCCCAGCATGTGCAGAATAACAAGCAGCCGCTGATCTCTGGTCCTTTAGGCTTTGGAAAGCAGTCGTGAGCTCCTATACGTCCTCCGGTGGGTTTTTTTTCCTCTTCCCCAGTCCAGATCSACAGCTGCATCACAGAGGAGCGGGTTCTGTCTGGAAGCTGCCGCGGTGCGCCTCTGCTGTGCTGCTCGCATCCATTCCCTCCCCCAGAACCGAACTGCCTCCACAACACTGCGGAGAGGATCGCCTCGGATTGGCTTTAGATTCCGCCGTATATGCTCAAGTTTATGGGAGGGAAATAAGCGTAGGCTTCCTTGGTGCAAGAGGCTGTTCCAGTTTGAAACGTCCACCGTTTAGAAAGAAGGGGGAAAGCGCATCGGTTTGCGGTGGCAGCTTGCCCGGATCAATTACATTCGTCCCAAACAAGAGAGAGCAAGGATAGGACAGTGCGCGTGCGTGCGTGTGCGTGCGTGTGTTTTACACYGACTGGAAACGAGCTGCTTACTCTGAACCTACACACAGTATGACTAAAAAAGAAGTCACTGCCTGATTTTCTGCCTCTCACGCTTCCAGCTCCGATGATTAGAACTGGCTTTATCAAGTTCTGCTGTCTGTTTGTTGAGGTTGCTATTTTTAATATCTGGGGCAAACATTATTTACAAAACAGCATTTGCATGGGACTGTAAGACTTTTCTAAGTTACAACTGCTAAGCTGCTCAGAAAACCTTATATAAAAGAGGTGACCAAAACAAAAGATGACTTTTGTTTTTTTGTGGGTTATTGTTCACTGCCTGGTTAGAAGGGTCAGACCAAAAACTGTCTCTGAAGGCCTTTTAATGTATTATTTTATTTTTTTTGCAGGCTCTATAGTTTGGGGACTTATTGTGATGTTCAATTCAATTTATCCTGCTCTGTCACTACATCCTTTACCACTTCACTGATTCCCTGTTAGGTTTGGGAGTTTGTTGCTTGGTTGTTGTGTTTTTATGTTGCTACCCCGCACATCCGATCCTAATTACCACAGCTGCTTTGGGTTTCTCAATCAACAGTATTTTTCAACTGTAGTATTTTTTTTATTATTTTTTTTTAGGTTTAGATGTATGTGGTGTTCACATCCTGTCTTTCTTTCAGGCGTGGTCCGGTGGCTCACCAGGAGCCAAGGCTCGACCAGCAGGCGCTCACCCGCCAGAGAGTTCCCCCTGCCCTAGACCTGGCTCCAGGGAGGCGCCCTGGTTTCTCCTTCCCAGTCCAGGTTTCCAGAGCCAGTCGCTGTCTATCCATGAAGTTTTTAATCACTTTTGATCTGCCAAAGGAAAAAGAAAGGAAATTTTTTGATCCATCTAAAATGTGGACTCTATTCCATTACTTTTAAGAATAAGTGGACATCTTTGAGGAAATGTTGATGCCTTTCGAACAAAAAAACATTTTAATAAAGAGAGAAAACTATTTTGGTCATGTTATGTGCAACCAACAAATTTGTTAATATTACACTAATAATTAGCTCAATATCAGTACATTTGAATAAGTTATATCCATTTTTGGGTTGGATAATGCTGGTTAGCTGCGGGTCAACTCATATGTTAATATGTTTTATATGCAGATTACCCTTTGAGAGTTTAGCTGAAATCTTAGTGGTTCATGTAATATTTTGCTAACAGTCAGTGTTCACTTTAACATTTAATCTCCTTCAGTTTCTTCTTTTAGCCGTTCATTCCCCTCCATCTAACTCCTCTGTCCTCTGTCCTAACTTGAATTGCCTCCATGTCCTCTCTAACTGCATCCATTTATCTCCTCTGTGTTTTTTTTTTCAGGCAGCTGCATCTCTTACATCCTTCTACCAACATACCCTCTGTGACTGTCCCGCCTCTGAACATGACCACACTATCYCAGTCTGGCCTCTCTAACTTCATTTACCTGTTATTTAACCTGTGCTGTGTCTCTGATGATCCCATTCCTAATCTTATCCATCCTCGTCACTCCCAAAGAGAACCCCAGCTTCTTCGGCTCTGCCACAGCCAGGTCTTTTCCCATTTTTTTTAAATTTTAATTTAATTTTTTGTTTGTTTTTTGAGATTTAGCTGGTCTCACTGCTCCTTTCCTTTGATAACTTTAACTTTTAATGCTAGCATTTAAAGCAAAGATGTTGCACAATATGTAGTTCTCAGGATATGTGTTAGGAATCACTCTCAGCTTCTACCTTACCAAATTTTATCTTAATATCCATAAAGCTGACTCAGTTATTATCATATCGATGTTGGGTAAATTCAGTTAGCTGTGGTGGCTGTCTGTTGTAGCATTGCTGTGATTTTTATCTGAGAGTTTTGTTCAAATTTATCCACAGGTTCATGAGATATTTTGCTAACAAACAGATAAGGCTGATAACAAGAGTTTTTGCCAAAATTTTAAGCAAACAGTATTGTGTAATGTGATACATTCAAAGTATTAGAATCATGCTCATCACACCAAATGTTAGCTCAATATCTGTAGATTTGGCTAAATAATACCATTCTTTTTAGTCATTTAATTTGTGTGTGATACTTGTGTTACAGACCTTTTGAATGAATTGATTTAAAATTTCCAAGTTAATAAGCAAATTTTAACATTATACTCAGAGGTGGAGACGGAGGGGTGGCCGGGGTGGCAAGTGCCTCCTATGGTACCTGATTGTCACCCTCAAATAATTAACAAGTGGGTGGGGATCTTGGATTTTGCATTTACTACTGTACTACAGGGCTATTCAACTGGCGGCCCACGAGTGACCAAAGTTCGGCCCGCCAATTGGTTCATTCATCTCTTAAACCCAAACCTCCAGTTTTCTACTTTAATTACTCTGTAATTTTAAACATAGGCATGTTTGGTATCTACAGAAATGTCAAAATCTTGGCTAGAAGCTGGTAAAAACACTTTCTATAAACACTCAAGACAGTTAAAACCACAAGCAGTTGAAGACAAAATTATGAAAGAGAAAATAAATTTGTTTTAAAAATTTGGCAAGTCAGAGATGTCAAAATAGTATTTGTGTGAAATAGGAGGCAAAATGTCTTCTTTTTGTTTTGGATAATGTTTAATTATCACTACTTTTATAGGGTTCTGTATGTTGTATTCATGATTAAATGCAGCAAAATAAACTAATTCAATGGTAACAGATCTTTGTAATCCTTGGTTTATTTACATAATAACTTTAATTCCATGTTCGGCCCCTCAGCTGTGGACCGGCAGTAACTGTGGCCCCCGGAGTGATTTAATTGAATAGCCCTGCTGTACAAGATAAAATTTCAGCTGTGTATGTTTTAAATGGCTGAATTATAGCCCTTTGTAAAATTGGCATTAGCATTAGTGGTTAGCTTAATTTGAGTCTGGCATTGGCAATCAGCATTTGATCATTTTTAGCTATTCCACAACAAATTTTATCTCAATAGGTCATAAAAGGGTTAATTTTTAGCCTTTTAAAGTTAGAGGTGGTGGCCATCTTTAATAGTTGATTAGCAATTAGAATTAGGTAAATACTGTTTTCGGCTACTTCTACACCAATCTTCAGCTGAATAATGAATAATAAGTTTTTCTGGATCATTCTTAGCTATGGTCATTTGCAACTGTGGTGGCCATCTTGAATTTTCAAATCCTGTCCTGTCTTATGTAGTTTGAATGTTAAACAAGAATAACTTTTGCAGTTATTTAGATAAATTGTCAAAATCAAGACATCGAAAAAGATACAACTTTTTGAGTGTCACAGCAACGCAGCATCAACCCAACAGCCACCAACCAGAGGTCAAGCTCAGTCATTCAGACTGAGACATAATACTGCACACATATACTTCCTGCATACTTAACTGCATGTTCACAGATGCGGATGGTCGACTCATTTAAACACGCATGCACGCGCTCATACAGTTGTGGACAAGCTTACACAAATCTCCGAACAAATCTGTTTTCTGCTCTGACCAACTCTTTGTAGCTGGCTGAATGGAACATTCAAATATGTCAGAGTGAGCCACTGAGCCAAACGCAGGCAATAAGGCAGATGTGTCGCAAGACTGCCAGTGCCAAATCTGTCACAGAAACCATATTGCCAAGAGGCAAGGAGAGCTCACCCATGAAATTGTTCATAACACGTCCATAATTGCAATTTGCCGTCGTATTGACTGTGAAAATGTGGTAGCATCTGTAAAGCCTTTATTCTTACATTGATCACTGGAGCTGGGAAGGTGAGCCACGCTCTGTTCCAGTGAGGTGAAATGAGTTCTGGTGAGAAAGTGCTTCACTGTGACACATGTGGGTATTACATTTCTAAGTGGATTTTGATAGCAGGGAGGGTGTATTTTTATCTAAACTTAGTTTTTACATTTGTCATGTGTTAGTGTCACTGTAGTGCTAATGCTGCTCATTAAAGATAAAGCCAGCATGAGTCCAGAAGTGTTCAGAGTAGTTTTCTGTCAATGTTTTTTTTTTTTCTGCAGTGCATGGTCCTTCGCTATTTGAACATACTCTACAGTACAATTAGTTATCTTTGAGCCACTTCAGAAGAATATTTGCCTCATATGTTGTCTGCATTTTAGATTTGATGATCCAAGGGTCCAATTTTCATTATTTCTATAAAAGTATGGTTAACTCACATTTTTTAGGAACTGTTAGTTGGAAAGGCAAAAAGTTCTGTGGTTCCAAACACCTTAAATATTTTTATTCACTTGTAAATGTAACATATTTGTCTTAACACCATAAAAGTAATGTTTGCAGTTTTGTATAACCTTTATTTTAACAGGTAAGCCAGTTGAGAACCAATTCTCATTTACAATGACTACCTGGTCAAGATGCAGCAGTACAGCAGTTTTAGGCCATGGCATCAACATTGACTTCTTGGATTTGTCTTAAAACACTACACACGTAAAGAGTTTCATTCTTTTTTTTTYYYCCMMCMAARKTWYWAAAAAACTTCAGATTGGAGATTTGAAGATCACAACAACCATTTGCAAGTTTTTCAACTGCTGCTGCAGAGATTCTGCAAAGTGAGAGTAAAAAAAAAAGGCAATGCTGCTTTTACTGAATTAATGAGACTTTATCTGGGACACAAGACTAAGTTTCATTTGAAAAAAAAAAGAAGATATGTAAGAATGTGCAATAAAGTTAACTTAGGTTTGAGTGTTTGTTGAACTTATAGGAAAAGCAAATAACAATTTAACGTGTTTTGTACAAYTAAACAAGTTGTGATTTTGCACTCCTGGCATACTTTATATGATTTACTGACAAAAAAATAACTAGTGCATTGTCATGAGAAAATAATTTAGTTTACATCACCACCTTTTTATATACAGTATAATGAAAACTGTTTCTATCCTTGTCAGCAGGTCTACTGTTCCATACAGTACACATCTATGCATGGATAGGGGTCCATTGTCACTGGTCCTAGGGCCAGTCTGGATCATACTTGGGGTTAAAGTGGCCTTGGCTAGATTATACCATGGGTATGTCCTATAGGCCAATTTATACCCCTCAGGGGAAATTATACCCCCATGATATGAGAAATATAGTTTGGCTTTGGACAGTTTATCCCACAGGGAATCCTGTGACCTGGGCCAAACAATACCCAGATTTGGGGAGGGGTTAATTTGGCCTGCCACACCGGTACAAGGCCATGGATCATTTGATACTGGGCTGCACTTAAAAACAAAACTTTTCTTTAAAAAAATGAACATTTTTATGTGCATTGGTCTGCAAGGTAATTTGTTTTGAAAAACAACCACTTCTTTTTATGCTTCTTTCGACTCAGTCAAATTTATTGTTTCACATTCCAGCAAACCTGCAAGCTTCAAAAATGGGTAAAAAGGGAATCCTGCTGAAGAAGTTCTTTTCCCTGCACAAACCTATAACGTTGCCTTGTATGAAACCTACATTGCATGATAAAATTAAATTTAAAAAAAACGAGAGTACTAGTGTAGAGCATTTGAACTGAATGTTGTTGTTTTTTAACCATGTAGGTGAAAAACAAGAAGTTTGATTTAATATTATCTTGTGAATTTGAGTCTGCATTTATTTGTATTACACTCGTGGGGAGGTAGGTTCACACGAGAGAGCTTCTACAATCTCTCCTTTCTTTTCTTTTGTGTCTTTTMCTCTCTTCAGATTTTTCAATGCAGACAATCACTTCTTCTTTGGCCAATGCTGTGTGGTTTTCCAACCAGCCGGAGAGAGAGCTGGCAGGGGATGTGAATACACTCTGGGGCCTCATAGACAAGTCTCTTAAGTTATCTCTAAGCAGGCTGGAGACAGAGGGAGGACAAAGCTCTAAACCCGATGACTTGAAATCCTTTCACATTCTTGTCCCAAACCTGCTTCTGTGTAACAGCGTTTTTTGGTTTTGGCACTTGTCCAGGGGATGACATCATCAAACGGGGACAGACATATGGCCATTAGATTTGATAATGAGTGTCTGCAGGTTCCAGCCAAGACAAATGCCTAGTAGTAGGCAATGATCATTATCAGTCAAGGACACTTTTATTGTCAGCAGGGGAGTCGGTCATTAGAAAGCTTGGGTTTCCTCCTATCATGTCTCTTTTTGCAATGC